GAGGATGCTAGGTGCCAGCCAGCCAGCCAGCCAGCCAGCCACCCAGCCACCAAGCCACCCAGCCACCCAGCCACCCAGCCACCCAGCCACCCAGCCACCCATGGAGAAAGAGTGAAAGTAAGATAAAGAGAAGTGAGAGAAGCGGAAAGCCCGGCGACAAAAGGTAGTCAGGATAATTTCAGAAAAGCTGGCTTGAAACAAGCCAAGATAAAGCTGGGCATTTATAAATAATAATAAGCCTCTGTGTGTGGTTTATTTGGGATCTGGGTGGCATCCCCCCCCTAAAAAAAAAAAAAAGCCTAAAGAGCAAAGAGTAATAAGAGTAAAAGACAACCAACAACATATTTCCTACCTCTAGACCCTCCACAGTGTCATTGTTCCCAGCTACAGGGGCATAACTCTCCAGGAATCATGGCAGCCCCAAGGCATACCAATCGCTTTGTGTCATTTGTTCTTAGTTATTGCTGTCTTAGTTAGAGACACTATGACCAAGGCAACTTATAAAGAAAGCATCTAATTAGGGGCTACTTACAGTTTCAGAGGGTGAGTTCATGACCATCATGTGGGGGAGCATGGTGGCAGGCAGGCAGGCACTGGAAAAGCAGCTGAGAGTTTACACCGGATCCACAAGCATGAGGCAAAGAGAGCCAACTAGGAATGAGGTGAGCTTTTGAAACATCAAAGCCCATCCCCAGTGACACACTTCTTCCAACAAGACCATACCTCCTAATCTTGCCTAAACAATTCCACACTTTCAGAGCAAACATTCTCATTCAAACCTCCACATTCCATTCCCAGCCCCCATAGGCTTCTGGCCATATCATAACGCAAAATGCACTTAGTCTAATTTCAAAAGTTTCTATAGTCTGCCAGTCTCATTATCATTTCAAAGTCCAATGTCTCTTTTGAGACTCAAGGCAATCTCCCAATTGTAACCCTGGTAAAATCAAAGGGCAAATTACACGCTCCTAACACAAAGTGGCACAGAACACACATTAGCATGACAAAAGGGAAGAAAGGAAGAATAGTGAGGAAACACTGGACCAAAGTAAGACTGATCCAGCAAGACAAACTCCAAACGATCTGGGCTATCCAGTGGGTTAGGGGCAAGCTTACATCGCTGCGGGGGGGGGGGGGGTTTAATATGTGCATACGTGTCTGCAGGTATGCTCACCTGTGCATATGTGCATGAAGGCCATTCTCCTCTTTGTTCCTTTGAAGCAGGGTCTCTCCCTGCACCTAAAGTTTGAATGTTTTGGCTAGGCTAGCAGCCAGTAAGCCCTAGCAATCCTCCTGCCTCTACCTCCCACAGCACAAGGGTTACTGGTGCATTTGAAACCACACCTGTCATGTTACATGAGTTCTAGAACATGAACTCAGGTCCTGTGGTTGTTCAACAAACACTCCTAAACACTATGACATTTCTATAGCCCCCTGTTTGGCTTTTTGTTGTTGCTGCATTTTTTTTCTTCTTACTCTTCTTGTTGAGATAGTCTGTCTCAAACTTCTTCTATAGGCAGAGTTAGCCATGAACTCCTGATCTCTCTGCCTCCACCTCCCAACTGCTATAGGCGGAGTTTCTCTGTGTCTCAACCACCTATTCCCAAATAACCAGCAGCTGCGTCCCACACAACTGACTCAGACACTTTATATAAATTATAAATGCTTGGCCAATAGCTCAGGCTTGTTACTAACTATCTCTTACAACTTAACACATTTCTACTAATCTACATGCTGCCCTGAGGCTCACTGAGTTTACCTCTATTCCATTTTTGTGAGTCCAACTCTCCCTCTGGCTGGCAACTCCTCTGACTCTGCCCTTCCTCATCCCATCACTCTCAGTATCCTGTTCAGCTATTGGCCAGTGAGCTTGCTTATTAAACCAATCATAGTGACATATATTCACACAGTGTACAGAAAGACTATTCCTCAGCATGCTATTATTACGAGCATGTAAAACACCGTATCCATGTATGTTGTACATGCTAGACAAGCCCTATACCAACTAAGCCACATCATCATACTCTTGTTTTGATTTTGAGTTTCAGTACTAATAAGAAATAGAGGAAAGAAAGGAGATCAAGTTGTTCCTTCTGTCTTGCCTCAGCTAGAAAAGCCTCTATTGAAAGGAAAAAGTAGTAAAGCTCAAATAATATTAAAAGTAAAAATGGGAAGATGCAACCTATGATATGGGCTTAGAGATGAGCCTTTGGACAGTGAATAGGATTTAGATAATAGTAGAGTTCCCTTCATCAAATTCTAGTGCTCTTCTAAGAAAAGGAAATAAGCCAGGTGAGGTGGTGCCTGCCTTTAGTCCCAGCTCTTGGTAGGCAGACAGGGTGGATCTCTGAGTTCAAGGCCTGATCTACAGAGTGAGTTCCAGAACAGCTGGGGCTGCACAGAGAAACTCTGTCTCAGAAAAGCAAAGAAGACAGAGGAAGAAGAGGGAATGACCATTTTTGTCCCTTACCCTTTGATGGTCTGTGACCCCTCAGCACTCTATCAACCAAACAACCATCATTAGATGGCCCCTGAATCGCAAACCTCCAGAACGAAGAGCCAAAGTAAATTCCTTTTGCCCATAAAGTAGCCTGCCTTGGCTATGTCATTACAACAATGAAAAATGAACTAATGAACTAATCCCCACCCATAAATGAAGTCTAAATCTTCAAGGATGTTCAATAGGATGCTGGTGACAAACGATGTCCTTTGGATTTTTGTATGTTGTTCTAAATATCCCAGCAGTGATCACACCCCCTTTTCCTAAAACTAAGGAAGACAAAGAAATGGAAAACAGAAAAAGCCTCACAGTCCTAAACACATAAAGAACTTTAAAGTTACACAGAAACAAAGGAAAGACATCGGAGGAAGAACAAACACTAACAAGAAGACTCGAGAATGCACATCCTGGCTTCCTAATCACCAAGTGCAAAGACAGAGCCATCAGATCTAGAGAGCACCTACCAGAGAGCTGGCAGGATCGGTGATGCCTGAAAGTCACTCCCTGTCCCACACACACACACACACACACACACACACACACACACACACACACCAATCATAGGAAAAAATGTTGTCCTGCTCTTGAATGCAACAACTCGACCCTGTGGTTTTGTGTAAGAAACACTGAAATGTGATGGGTGACATTCCCAAGATAAATATTGCCACTGGAAGAAATAGGTCACATCATGAACAGAGAGGGCACAATGCAGGTGGTGGTGGCCCACACCTGTAATCTCAGCACTTGAGAGGCTGAGGCAGGCAGATCTCTGAGTTCAAGGCCACCCTGGTCTACAGAGTGAGTTCTAGGACAGCCAAGGCTACACAGAGAAACGACTACTTTATATGCCATCCTAGACTCCTCATCCTGTGGCTAATGGAAGCAGAGGCAGACACCCACAGATACACACTGAACTGAACTCTAGAACCCAGTTGCAAAGAGGGAGGAATGAAGATCAAAAGGGTCGGGGCCAGGCTGGTGAAACCCACAGAAACAGCTGGCCTGAACAAGGGGGAGCACATGGACCCCAGACTGCTGTCTGGGAGGCCAGCACGGGACTGATCCAGACCCCTGAACATGGATGTCAATGAGGAGGCTTCCCCACTCTATGAGGCCTCTGGTAGTGGATCAGTATTTTTCCCTGTTGTAAGAAGGGACTTTGAGAGCCCATCCCAGAGAAGGGATGCTCTCTTGGCCTGGACACATGGGGGAGGGCCTAGGCCCCGCCCAGGATGACGCTGTGGACTTTGGTTGTCCAGAGCCCTACCCTCCCTGGGGAGCGGAGGGGGGATGGGAGGGCAGGTGAGAGGTTGGGGGGAGGGGAGGGAGAGGGAAAAGGGATTGACATGTGAAGCAAGCTTGTTCCTAATTTGAACTAATAAAAAATAAAAATAAAAAAAACAAAAAAGCAGGGGGGGGGCTGAAGAGATGGCTCAGTGGTTAAGATCACTGGCTGCTCTTCCAGAGGACCCGGGTTTGATTCCCACCACCCACACGGCGGCTCACAACACTCTAACTCTAGCAGGAGATCCGACACCCTCTTCTGGCCTCTAAGGGCCAGAAGTGCATGTACACAGACATGTGCAAGCAAAACACTCACGCACATAAGATAATAATAAAATGGAATCTTTATAAAAGAAAAAGAAACGAGAAGAGTGACCACGACCTGCTGCTGTGATTTGTTTGGTGTGACTCAGTAGGCATAAGGAAACTCAGACCACAGTGAACTTTCCCTGTATCTCGGCTTCTAATGTGTCCTTTCATGGTCTATGACCTAGGTCTCTGCTGCCCCCTGGTGGCCAAGAGACCAAAGCGCCCAGGAAAAAATTCCTTTCACTCCCTTAGGGACTTATTCTTGTGTTTGTCAATCTGTGTTTGAGGAGCTTGTCTCTCTACACACCGATTCCCTTGACTCAACTCAAGAGCAATTCCCTTCCCTTATCACCCTACACCCAACTTACCACTGATGTCATGCCCACGGGAGAAAAAAAATGAGATTCGGAACAGCAGCGAGAGGTGTCGGTGGGTATTGCTGGGGAAGGGCACAGAGGACTCAGATGGTCAAGGAAAGGGGCAGAAAATACAGATCTTTTCCAGTCCCCACATGGAGGTCAGACGCCCGCTGTAATGAGGCAGAGGGTGCAAGTAAGGGTGGCTTTTCAGTCTGGTCAAAGATGGCAGATAGCTGGTAGGTTCAGGATTGATAGACACCTACTTCACAGATCAGGCTGAAAGGGACTTAAACTCTGAGGAAGGAAAGCTTTGCATGGCTTCTTCTATTTAGCACATAACAGTAGAGAGAACAGCCTGCTGAGACTAGGACATTTAAGTTCTCTCTCATTCTCTCATATTCTCTCTCTCTCTCTCTCTCTCTCTCTCTCTCTCTCTCTCTTTCTCTGTGTGTGTGTGTGAGTGTGTGTCTGTCTGTCTGTCTCCCTGTCTCTGTGTCTGTCTCTCTCTCCTTTTCTCCTTCCCTCCTTTCCTTCATCCCTCCCTTCCCTCATACCATTGCCATGGACACCGGCTGCACAGGGTAGCCCCCATCTGGTGGAAAAAGAGGTCTGGCTCACCAGCCCCACCCTGGAGTCCCATTCTCACCTGGCAGAAATTCACCTTACAGCACCTCCAGGTTCCCAGGGACAGACAGCCTCAAGTGCTCTCCATGACGTCTCTCTCCGTACTGATTTTTAGTTGTGTGCATAAAACACAAGGTGCCATGCAATGGGGACTCAGGAGACAAAAGGATCCCTTGAGCCCATGGGCCAGTCTGAGCAACACAAGCAGCACTCCATCTCAAAAGAAAGCCACATGCTTTTTTATTTTGATGTTTAATTAAACAATAAAATGATAAGCAAAACAGTGGAAAAGGCATCCCAGCAGCTACATCCACCAGACATCATCCTTTCCCAGAGACACGACTGTCCTGGGTCAGCCACCATAAAACTCATGGCACAACGCAGTCACTTGTCATCAAATCAGCCAGCTCCAACACGTCTACTCAGAAAAATGAGTGTTCTCAACACAGTAATACCCAGAATTTTACTTAGCATTTTTTTATATTTATTACATTGTGTGTGTGAGTGGGGGGGGTGAGTGTGTGAGTGGGGGGGAGGGGGGACATGCATGCCCCAATGCACATGTGAAAAGGTCAGAGGACAATTTTCCCTTCCACCATGTGAGTCCAGGGGAGGCCATCAGAGCTGGGGGCAAGCCCTTTTACTCAGCAGCCCACACCTAGCAGCATCAGCCCTGATTTTAATTCATGTCCCCTGAGCCAGTACAGCATCGACATTACCCAGTGAGCTGGGTGCACTATTGCCTTCTCTGCCGACAGAACCGTGATTTCATGTCTCATCTGAGGAACAAAGCATAACTAATCTAAGCCATTCCCTCTGCAAACATCTGCTTCCCTGGCTTCTCCATGGCGACTCCTCAGGAAGCTGTCACAGGAAGAGGGTCAGGTGAGGTAAAGATCTTTCTGCATGGGGCTAGAGAGATGGCTCAGCAGTTAAGGGTGCCCACGCGGGGGTCACAGCTTCCTGTAACTCCAATTAACTCCAGTACCAGGGGACCTGACAACCTCACCTAGACATACATGAAATGAAGACAAAACACCAATGCACACAAAATAAAAATAAGCAAATAAAATGTTTTCTTGAAAGGTCTTTCTGCGCTGCCTTGCTATGCCATCTGCAGTTTCAGTCAAGCCTCCTGCACCTGTGAAGTGATGAGGCCACCAACACAAAGACAAAACCTGAGGCTTTGGGCTGCTGAGCCAGCCTCATGCTGTTTCTTTCTGTATCTTTGTTAACCAAGCCCCTGTTCATTGGATTTACTGCTTGCAACCCAAAAACTCTCAATTGGCATACTTAGAAATTCCATTCATTCTTTCACTCACTCAAATATTTATTGAGAGTTATGACGGGGAGTTATTTAAGAAACAGGAATTTTGTCAGGTCGTGATGGCACACACCTTTAATCCCAGCACTCAGAAGGCAGAGGCAGGCAGATCTCTTTGAGTTCAAGGCCAGCCTGGTCTACAGATCGAGTTCCAGGACAGCCAGACTACACAGTGAAAACCTGTCTCAAATAACAAAACAAAACAAAAAATATATAAAGAGTGGGGGATGGGTGTAAAAGAGTACAATGTCTAACACTAGATTACTGGTCAAATAAATTAGCCATTGCATGAAGGTCTAGTAAAGAGTTATGTATGGGGCTGGAGAGATGGCTCAGAGGTTAAGAGCACTGACTGCTCTTCCAAAGGTCCTGAGTTCAATTCCTAGCAACCACATGGTGGCTCACAACCATCCATTATGAGATCTGGTGCCCTCTTCTGGTGTGCAGATATCCATGGAAGCAGAATGTTGCATACATAATAAATAAACAAAATCTTTAAAAACAAAACAAAAGAGTTATGTATGATACTTCCATCTTGAAGAAATATAAGCATTTTGGAAGTAACTTGCTGATTTGTTTAGTGTAGAACAAGGCAAAAGAATCAGAAACCATGTCAAAGATCCACCCTCAGCCAAGATGTACAGTGGAAATACACCTTGAGTACAACAGACGAAAACCCAAGCAGGAGACGGTGCTGCACACCTATAACCCCAGAACTAGGGAAGTGGGCATGAGAAAATCAGGAGTTCAAGGGCTACATAGAAACTTGAGGTTAATTTGGGTTACATGAAACTTCAAACAAAAATAATCCTGTAATACACTTGGTGTAAGACATGACATTTTTAATATCTGACAGAAAACAAGGGAGGAAAGTAGAAAAGCGTTTTAAAAGGTAGGATGACTAGTTGGCAAGAGACGGGATGAATACAAGCCTGCCAACCTGAGTTCAATCCCCAGAGCCCTCACAGTGAAAAGAGACACAACTCCTCAATGTCATCTTCTGAAAACTACATGTGCACTGTGAACATGCAACTACACACACACACACACACACACACACACACACACACACACACACACATACACAATTACTTTTTAACATTTAAAAGAAAAAAACGTGTTTTACCTTGTTATGCATCAAACAAGTCAGGATGTATTATTTTCAAAATGACTAAACTCATCCAAGATTGCCTAAGGTGTTACACATACGTCTTTTACTAGACCTCCATGCAATGGCTAGTTTATTTAACTAGTCATTTCATATTGGACAGTATACTCTTCTTCACATATGTTACATTTTAAAAAAGAGTCTGCTATCTTTCTTTAGTCCATAGGTTTCCCAATGCCAGAGTCAAGTGCAGGTAGACCCACTAGCTCCCTCGCCTCATCTGAGCCCCTACACAGTACAGACAAGAAGATCCATGCCAGCACTTTATTGGGAAAGAGAAGCACCTGTCCCCAGGGCTGTTCCGGGTGCTCCAGGAAGCAGGAGAAGCAAAGAGAACGCCTGATAGCAGTGGGAGTGTCACAAGCCCCAGGACATCACCCCTTCTTGGCTTCCAGAAGATTCCTGGAGCTCCAGGCAATCCAGAACAGTTAGGGTACTCGAGCCTCTGCAAGTAGAAGACATTTCAGGTCACAGCTGTGCCTTCCCAGCTCCAGGTGCCCAGCCCTTTCCCTTCCACCCTGCATCCCTGGACTTCCTAACTAGTTCTGAAGACGCTCGCCATGTAGAAGTTGGCCTCACGGCTCCTGTTATCAAATGGGAATGCTATCTGCTCTGGTTTTTGCCCTGCCCCAGCCTCAAGGCCCCAGCACATCACATATACCCCCACCCTCTCTGACATGTCACATCTGCTTCGGGTTTAGGGCCTGGATCAAATCCCATGTCTTCCAGAAAGACCTCCCCGCAGACAGCCACACCCCCTTTAAGCACTGTTATCCCACAGTGTTCATTTGAGGGGTGTGGCCTGTGACTCAGGGTCTTTCTCTCTAGCTACATTCCTCGTGGCCCTCAGAAGTTGTCTTCCCAGTAGCTAACAGGGGGAGTGTTAACAGCCCTTAAGCCTTCATAGCCGGTCAAAGGTCAGCATAGGCAATACTCACCCAATTCAGAATTAGACTCATTGGTCCTGACGGAGTGTGTGGACTGTTTGAGGGACTGGAGTGTGTGGACGCAGAATCGGCCACAGCCTGACTTACAGCACTTCTCCCCAGGTTGACAGTTCTCATCCACCATGCAGTTGACAATACACAGGCCCACCAGGATTCTGGGGCAATGACCATCCCGCCCTGTGGACAACACCAGCACAGGGAAAGACACAGGGAGGGACCTGGCTTCTCTCTTCCCACATTCCCACCTATGACTTTAAGATTCAGGGCCCCAGTGAATCAACCCGGACTCCCACCTGGAGGGGGCTGGAAGCAGGGAAGCTGGAGGCCTGAGACACTACACATCCAAACACCTTTGACACAGGCTTAGCAAACTCCCGAAGCCAGGTCCTTAGAGGCTGGCAGACTTGCCAGTAGAGCCAAGAGCAGAGAGACAAGGTCCAACCTTCTCCTCTGATTGAATTCCATGCCACTGCCTCATTTGCCGCCGCTAAAGAGGGTTTACGACCCCGCTTTGCACCACCGTAACAGTGTCAGTCTTCTCTCACCAAAGTTTAATCGAGTGTGTGTGTGTGTGTGTGTATGTGTGTGTGTGTGGTGTGAGTGTTATGTGTGTTGTATATGAGTGTGTGTGTGTGTGTGTGTATGTGTGTGCGTGTGTGTGTGTATGTGTGTGCGTGTGTGTGTGTATGTGTGTGCGTGTGTGTGTGTATGTGTGTGCGTGTGTGTGTGTATGTGTGTGCGTGTGTGTGTGTATGTGTGTGCGTGTGTGTGTGTATGTGTGTGCGTGTGTGTGTGTATGTGTGTGCGTGTGTGTGTGTATGTGTGTGCGTGTGTGTGTGTATGTGTGTGCGTGTGTGTGTGTATGTGTGTGCGTGTGTGTGTGTATGTGTGTGCGTGTGTGTGTGTATGTGTGTGCGTGTGTGTGTGTATGTGTGTGCGTGTGTGTGTGTATGTGTGTGCGTGTGTGTGTGTATGTGTGTGCGTGTGTGTGTGTATGTGTGTGCGTGTGTGTGTGTATGTGTGTGCGTGTGTGTGTGTATGTGTGTGCGTGTGTGTGTGTATGTGTGTGCGTGTGTGTGTGTATGTGTGTGCGTGTGTGTGTGTATGTGTGTGCGTGTGTGTGTGTATGTGTGTGCGTGTGTGTGTGTATGTGTGTGCGTGTGTGTGTGTATGTGTGTGCGTGTGTGTGTGTATGTGTGTGCGTGTGTGTGTGTATGTGTGTGCGTGTGTGTGTGTATGTGTGTGCGTGTGTGTGTGTATGTGTGTGCGTGTGTGTGTGTATGTGTGTGCGTGTGTGTGTGTATGTGTGTGCGTGTGTGTGTGTATGTGTGTGCGTGTGTGTGTGTATGTGTGTGCGTGTGTGTGTGTATGTGTGTGCGTGTGTGTGTGTATGTGTGTGCGTGTGTGTGTGTATGTGTGTGCGTGTGTGTGTGTATGTGTGTGCGTGTGTGTGTGTATGTGTGTGCGTGTGTGTGTGTATGTGTGTGCGTGTGTGTGTGTATGTGTGTGCGTGTGTGTGTGTATGTGTGTGCGTGTGTGTGTGTATGTGTGTGCGTGTGTGTGTGTATGTGTGTGCGTGTGTGTGTGTATGTGTGTGCGTGTGTGTGTGTATGTGTGTGCGTGTGTGTGTGTATGTGTGTGCGTGTGTGTGTGTATGTGTGTGTGTGTGTTGTGTATGAGTGTGTGTGTGTGTATGAGTGTGTGTGCATGTGTGTGTGTGTGTGTGTGTGTGGTGTGTGAGTGGTATGTGTGTTGT